AGTTTGTACAATTTAGATCACTCATTGTGCCACAATTAGCATTTTAATTTTAGCAATTATTTTCGAATTTTATCATTTCACAAATATTTTTGCTAGGGAGTGTAGGTCTGGAATTTTTACAGTAGATATACATATTTCCTCCAATTTTACTCAAAGGTGGATTGCAGCACAATGAATAATCCAAATTACATAAACTTTTTGAAAATAATTATCTTATCAATGAATATAATGTGATATCTGTTTGTTAAATTTGGATACCTGAAGTTTTGTTCAAATAAAATTATTCAAAAATGACAATTCAGATTACTGATCGTAATGTTATTGTATTTTGATTAATATTCATTATAGATACAAACTATCTTATATGTGTTTAAAGCTTAGAATAAGGACTACGACTTTAATTATAATGATTTTGATATTTTCTAGTAAAAGTACAACTTTACTTAGACACAAATGAAATATTCATATTAATATATTTGTCTAAATCTCTTTCACATATTATTCTACAATTAATGCTTTTTTTATAATTTCTGATTATATAATGCACATTAATATACAATAAAATTATAATTTATTTAATAAAATATAGATTAATTAAATCAATTTATTTAATTTTACTAATATTAATAAATATTTCATTTGCGTCTAAGTAAAGTTTTTACTTTTACTGGATTATATCAAGAATTATTATAATGGAAGTCGTAGTCCTTAATATTAATCAAAATTATGATCAATAATCTTATCTGTCATTTTTAAATAATTTTATTTATACAAAATTACAGGTATCCAAATTTAACAAACAGATATTAATTATAGTCCTTGATCAGAGAATTATTTCAAAGAAGTTTATGTAATTTGGATTATTCATTGTGCTACAATTCACCTTTGAAATTTATAAATTTTGAAGCAAATATTTTGTCATCATTTTGGAATTTAAAAATAATTACCAATCGTTGATACATATAAATCCTTTAGATCACTAAGAAAATATTAAAAATTATTCTAAGTAAACTTGAAGGAAATAATATCTACATACATCTACTGTAAAATTTTCAGACCTATATCTTAAAATTGAAAGAATGATGATTAGTTATTTCTTAAAGTTAAATGTCAATTATTCCTTCAATTCTTATGGTATATGTCTGAAAGTTTTACAGTAGATGCACATTATTACTAACTTTAAGATTACTTAGAATGACTATTAACATTTTATTAGTATTAAACAAAGATTGTATATGCCAACTATTAATAAATATTTTACCTACTCATGTGGATTAAATAAACATCATATTTTTCTTTTATTGTTTTGTTTTCTTTTGTGTTTAGACATGTTATTTCCCCATTAATCTAGATCTTTAAGTTTGTAAAAATGCATGCCATTTCTTTAGTTCAATCTTTTCTTTTAGTGCATTCATATAGAAGGCTTCATTATATTGCAGTTGGTACTCATCTTTTAGCTTTGATAATCATTTTCGGATTTTTTTTTATTTTTTTTAATATTTTTAATAATTTCGCCGTTTTTATTCACGTCTAAGTAAGGTCCAAAATTTTCATTAGATACCACGAAAAGTGCTTCTAATTAATGTTGTATAAGCTATTTCTGGCCAGCTACAATTTCGTATAAGATAGTTGGTATTTTTCTTTAATATCCATTAAGTCCGGTATGGGTAATGATCAAATTTAAATTTATTATTTTTTGGCAATTTTATTTGAATAGTAATTTCTCTACGTTTAGACATTCGGTTTTAATAAAAAGAAATTATATGATAGCTCTAGTTTACTGGAATATAATAAATAAAAGCTTATGCAATTTAGATCACCCGTTGCGTCACAATTAATATTTAAGGTTTAGTAATTTTTTTTTATTAATTTCTAGTTACCCGGTGACTTTGTACACTATCCAATTAACTTTTTTTTGATGTAATTTTGTAAAGAAGTTTGTTATCTTGAAGTTACGCCGATTTTAAAATACAAACTTTACAAAAAAAAAAAGTGGAAAAACACGAAGTTCATTTCCTTTTTACCGAAAAGGAACGATTTTCTCAAGAAACTATTATTAAAGGAAAATCTCGAAAGCTAAATTTCTTTGTTATTACAAAAATGGTAAAAAACTAAGTTACATGATTTAGCCGTTTAATTAAAATTGTTTTATTTGCGTTACAGACATGAGATAAGGTCAGTTTCACGGGAAAAAATTTCATTGTTTTTACAAAAATGGTATAACTTTATTTGAAGAGATAAATAAAAAAATCCAAATTTTCCATTTATAATAATAAACAATTTTTTGTGTCATCGAAAATCATTATTTCACGGAAATCTTGTGATTCTATTTATTGCTATGATATTGAAATTTCTCACTGCATTCCAAACTTGGGACGTCAATGATATAGGTCTCTTTATAATTTTGTAAAGCATTTGGTATAGGACGTGCAATACAAAATTCTTTTCATAATAATGATGGGTAAATGATAGAAAATTCTACGTAGAATTTAGTTGATTGAAAATAATGTTGGGAAAATGACACAAACATCTCATATAATTGCTAGAAGAGGCTTATCTTGAACACGTCTGTCATTGAAATTACGTATATGATACAATTATATATGAAAACTCTAGGCCTATAACGCATATCTTAACGAGATGGATATCGGCCATAATGAGACCCTCGTTTATTTTATATTATAAATATTTACACCACAAACCTTACACAGAGCCTTGATAACAAAGGAAAATGGAAGTTATAAAAGACCTATCTCATCCGCTTTCTTTCATTATAAATTTACAAAAATGACGAGAATTTTCGTTTTTAATTTATATTTCTATCTTATAATTGTATTATCGTTCTGTATATCGCAAGTTTTGTCAAATTCAACAGTGATTCAAAAAAGAGAAATTTCAAAAGACAGTGATGGCTTATTAAGAATTTCAATGCGAACTCTCACTCCCTGTGGAGGAAAGCTTGTTTTTTCAAGCTTTGTACTCACTATCTCTTCAAAAAACGAAGTAACTTACTTTCTTAAGGGATCTATCCCCGAGGGTTTAAATCAGCCTACAGGTTATTTACGATTGCTATTGTATTTTGTGTAATTTTATTTAATAAATAACATTAATACCGAGAATAGTATATTGACAATTCTCTAGTTCAATCAACTATCTATTTTGGATTTTCTTCTTATGCTTCTAGCGAATCTAGAGTGACGTGTTATGATTCTTCACATGAACGCGGAAATAACGAATCATGTATAATCGATAGTGGGTCAATCACATTTCATCTTTTATCTGATTATGCTGGTGACGCACGGGAGACATGGGAAAAAAATCCTACACTCGCAACAAATTATCTTAAAGTGAGTTTTTATCTATGGAGTCAAAATTCAGTCATCCAAGGTTGTGTCCTTGGTTCACCCATTGGTTCAATCCCCCTAACTTCAGAATTCCAAATCGCATATAACGCTCTGTTCCTTTCTGGGGTGATTGTTGGACTAATCAGCAGCTTCGTCAGCTTCACGCTAATAAAAGGCATCAATACATCAACAACAAATTCCAAAAGCCTTGAATCATCCGACCGTGAGAAATCGACTGTTAGTCAACCGCCTTCAGTATATGATATCTTTCGTGCGGCTCAATTTTTTGTAACTACCGCTCTGCTTTCTTTAACTCACCTTCCAGATAATTACAGAAATTTAATATCAAAATTGAGTTGGACAATTGGTTTGCCCAGTTTTAGCGAATCCCTATCGAATATTGCAGATGACCAGATACGAAAAGAAATATGTGATATGTCAAATCCACCCTCATCTGGATTTATAACTTCTGGGAGAATAATGAATATTCCGGGATACAATTCACTTTTTTGCGTGATTGTTCAATTCAGCATTGTATTAGCGATTGCGCTTGTTATCACATTACTCCTTGGGTTGTTTTCACGGTTGTGGAAATCCTTACAGAAAAAATGGTCCATCGTGAAAACAATAGCGAACAATATTCACTTGTTAGTACTTGGTATGTAAAAGGTCCCAAATATGCTATGTTGTAATTAAATAAATAATTAATTATAAGAAACTAACTTTTTCTCCTATTGCTTAGGTGGAATGTTTCGTGTGGTAAGTACTATGTTATGTATTCCATAGAGTTTCGTTTCTAGGTTTAATTGAAATGTAATAACAAACTTCCCTTATTTTTTATTAACATACAGCTGCTCTTATTTTATTATCCTCTGACCCTTTTTGCTGCCTATCAACTGTCGTTTCCCTATGACTGTTGGTTCTTTCTTTTTCTTGCTGCAATTTGCATCACATTCATTTCACTTGGCGTGATAAGCTTTTGTTCCTACAAAATCCTCCAGGATTTATCGCATGATCGGGACGCATTTAACACGCCAGTTCACACATTCATTTATGGAGCGCTCTATACTCAATATCGAGATCATTCAGAGAAGAAACAGACTTGCCTCTGGTTTTTTGCATTCACATTCGCCTATGATGTCATTCGAGCCATTGCCACTGGAGGAGCTCGACAAAGTGGTTATGCACAAACTGGCAGTTTGCTTGTCACCGAAATAATTTATTTTATTTTATTGATAAGGTTTAGACCCTTTAAAACAAATTTGATAAACTATTTAAATATAATCATATCGTTTCTTAAGTCTTTGATTGTGATCTTGTTAATCCCCTTCTTTATTATTTCGATCGATCTTCTTAAAACTCTTATATTGGCGCTGCAATTTGTTATTGTTGGATTATTATTAATGATAACACTCCTTCAATCAATTAATTTAATTAGAGGTTTCATTCGCAAGGACAAGGATAAAGACAATGACGAAGCGAATTAAAAATTTTCATTATCATATACTGTCAAACTGCTTAACGAATTTACATAATTATCCACATCGCTGAATAAATAAATAAATATAATTAACCACATCGCTGAATAAATAAATAAATATATATAATCAACCACACCGTTGAATATATATATATATAAGTAGTAACTGAGATATTTTTTCAAAAATGATATTTATTTTTGATTATGTAATAAAAATAAACGAAATATTTTGTATTTTTCATTTTGATTTTTCATATCCGAAGAAAATTTCAAGACTCTCCGTTGGAAACTTTTTTGATGGACCATAGCCATAGTGTCGAGTCGCTGCATTAAGCCTGACCGGAAAGTTACAAGATACACGATCTTTGACAACATCATTTGTTTTGTAAATCTCTTTTTATTTTTTTTCATTTTAATAAAATAAATAGCACTCATCGGCATAAAAAAATAAATTTTTATTTTCGTGCGATGATATTAACGCAATGGACAGCTTGGAATTTGAGAAAGAGATGGACGTCTAGATGATTATGTGAAATTACGTGACATTGAAGGAACAATATAATTTTTATTTGTATTTGAATGTAATTACTGTAAATTGATTTTGATTTGATTTATTATCATGATTGTGATTATTTATCATAATCACGGCACGAATACTGGGTACACAATAGTAAAAGTGTTAGAAAAAGATTTTCAAAACACTTGCCAACCAGCAAACCATTTATGGCTTTTATTGCATTTGAACACTGATATTAATATATTCTGTAGAAAATGCATGCCTCCTTTACTCTAATATAGTGATTACATCGTACACACCATCTACTCATGTTATTTATTCTATTAAGAGGCGTAGACCACTTATGACCTTTATATTCTGTAAAAAGACACTTACCACCTTGTTTTTGTGCAATATTATGAATTATCACATATTTAAAATTATCTCAGCTATAATCTCCTAACTTTGTACATCAAGGCATCTAATTATTTGCTTGTCAAAATTTATGCTCTTTCGGGCTAATGGGACAAAGAATTTTCGTTGAATGCTGGGAATAAATTCGGTGATTTTTTCTCATCTAACTTATGCTTTTTGAATTTTGAAATAAGAATTGAAGGCGTATTTTTTGGTTTAAGAGTTAATGATTATAATGCCACAAGTAATTTTAAATTATTATTAAAGTAGCAATAATAATTATAATAATTATGCCTCATTATCATCACACCATCACGTATTCCATAAAATAACTCAAGTAATTATTGATAAAAATTATGATGAAGTTGGGGCTGTTGGTTTTATTTTTGATAATTTTGGTGGTCGTTGTCGTCATTAGAATTGATGATGAAACTTTATCGTCTTTATAAAATCAGTAAATTGATTGATAAATATATCTAATGGTGGTTTTTTGATGAGTATATTTTATATGTTGTTGTTTCTAAATTATTTTTAAAATAATGTAGTATAAATAAACAAACCAATCAAATATTATAAATTATTAATAAAAATAATAAATAAAAAATACCCAAATTTTTTAATAATCTAATTAATCTAAAAATTTTAGATTTATTAGGCTTAGTAATGGTCATTGTGATGTACAGATTTAATGAATTCTAAAAAATAAATTATTTTATATTATTATTTTTAATACAAATTGTTGTGTGTAATTAAAATCATTGAAATATTTACTATGTCCCACCTAAACTCATTAATATTATCTTTTATCATCATAATCATCATCTGATAAGGAAGAAGTAGAATGGTTATCGAATTGATCGAATTGATCGAATTGATCGAATTGATCGAATTGATCGAATTGGAAAGATTGTAATTTAAGCATAATTCACGTTTCCTTAATGTTTTTGAGTTTTTCTATTTTGAATAAAATAAATAAAATTAAAATCTTAAAATCTAACCTCTTTCAATAGTCAAGTATTCATTCAACCTAGATTTCAAAGCGATGATAAACTTTGAACTTTTTCCTTTTGACTATTAAAATATTCTTCTAAATTTAAAAATTGATTTCAGTTTCAGTTGTCTTTCATCATTTCTTTGATATCTTAAATCTTATTCATCTTTAGTTTCGTTTTCTTTTTCGTCACTCCTTCCCATCGTTGCTGGTTATTATTATTATTATTATTATTATTATTCTCATTATAATTCACTATCAAGAATATTATTAATGGTTTTCAAAGAAAATATCCATAATTTCAATAATGATATTAAATCTAATCGGTCATTTATATAAAAATTAAAATGTCTAAAAATAACAACGTAAAATCTAAGTAATTATTAATAGTGAATCATTGAATCGATACTATTTATACGATAAATATAAAGCAAATAATAAATGAAGAAAACCTGATGAATTTGATTTTCCCATTTAATCACTGTAAGTTCTATAACTTGTATAGGATATTTATTTACTCGATCATTTATATTTTCTGCTCTCTCTATTATCAAATATTAATTAATTTAATAAATATAATTTAAAATAGATAAATAAATATAGAATATATAATTAATAATAATAGTAAATAAAACATAAAATATACTTTTTATTTTCTTTGACCCAATCTAATCCTTCCGTCCGTATTATTCAAATATTTTCAAACTTTCGATTTCTCGATATCACAAGTTTTTCATCTTCATTTTCTCTATTTACAAATTTTATTTATATTATTTTCTTGTGTTGATTTATTTGTGATGATTTATTTTATAATGATGAACCTGTGGTTTTATCGTATTCACATATTAACTTTCCAATTGATTCTAATTATAAATAATAAATTGAATGAATTAAATATATATATATACATATATGAATACAAGATCTATTCATTCATAAATAATAACAATAACAAACTATTATATGACTAGTTGATAACTACGTGCTAATATCAGTCAACCATTTACATCGTTCTGACATATTTCTCTTTCTCTAATTTCTTTTAAAGACCAATTTAGATTTCTGTGTATGTCTATTTGATTGATGGAATTTTATTGCGAATAATTGGTTAATTGATTAATTTACTAAAATTGAATATTAACGATAAATTTATTATATTTCATATATAGTTAGTTAATACCTATATAATCGATTTCAATAATTCTGGATCAATATTATATTAATGTGTTAATATTATTTACAACAGATATAATAATACTTTGATGTACACTCTCCTGCGAAAAGTATCCGACCACCTGAAAATTTAAAAAAAAAATTGCTAAAATTAAAATGCTAATTTTAACACAATGAGTAATTTAAATTGAACAAACTTTTTTATTAGATTTCACTACCTATACCGCATTTGATGAATATTAAATATAGTATCTAGTGAAAATTTTGACTTTACTTAGACGTGAATAAAATTTACCAAAATTTAATAAAAATAAAGATTGAAATAAAAAAAATCGAAAAATAATTATCAATCATTTATACATATAAAACTTTATTATTTATTAATTAACCGCAGTTTTCAAATTAGTGCGATCATTCAAAAAATCCAGTTATATATTAGGGTAGCTGCGTGGCGTGTGATGCCGCGCAGGACCAGTACGATCCGTTCTTTGGTACGTTGGTGTGATGTCTTGTATTTCTGATTTATTTTATCGAATGGGTGTTTTTTTTATGTGTAGATATTACGGTTATTATGTTATGATTACGTTGTTACTGCTTTTGGTTAATTGACAAGCCAAAAGGTATCATCGTGACATTTTTGTCTTTTTTCGTATATCTCATTTGATTTTTAGTCATGTGAGTGACTTGTTACGTAAAAATGCGTCATTTTAAAATTTAAGGTTTTTAAATTGTCATTTCTAATTTATTTATTATATTTTTTTTTGTAATAGTTTGTATCTATATTGATTGGAGTCTTTCTTATTTGAATTATACACATTATAATATAATTTATTACCGTTGTTGTTGTAATGTGTATACGTATATAAATAAAGTGGTTCGTTTATCAAAATGAAAATTAAATTTTTTTTTATTCCTGTGGTTTGCACGATGCCTTGTTACGCCGATATGATTATTAAAATTAATCAAGTTCGTCAATCTGATAAGGATGGGTCTAGTTTAACTGTTGTGTGGGCGGTGGGTACTTATCCTGTTGGAATTGACGATTGCGAAATGGAGTTGGTATTATTTGTCCCAATGAGTCATTACGATAGAGATCCCAATATTCAATCCGTTTTTAGAAAAGATGAATATTACAGTGTAGGTGGAAAGGTTGTACCCAGTGTTAGCTTATTTCTTTCTCTTATTTTTATTTTTATTTCATTATTCTTTATATGTATTATCATCTATATATTATATA